CTATGTTTCAGGTGTAACGGAACGAATTGCTAGGCACCTCAAGAAGAACGACATCGTAGTGCGGTACGGCACGGTCAGCAAAATTCGGAACACACTCCCGATAGCCAAGGACAAACTAACTCCATTAAAAGGAGCGGGAGTCTATCGACTATCGTGTAGTTGTGGGAAGGTTTATGTTGGCCAAACTGGGCGCAACGTCGAGTGCCGCATCAAGGAGCATGAGAGGGATGTAAGGCTGAAGAAGATCCAGCAGTCGGCGGTTGCGGAACATTGCCATGCAGAGGGGCACCGAATAGACTTCGAACAAACAAAGGTGCTGGCTAGGGACAACAGATACTACCAAAGACTGACAAGAGAAGCCATAGAGATTCACCGACATAAAAATAACGTCAACAGAGAGGATGGCTGGGAGCTTAGCAGAACATGGAAGATGGTGGTGAACACGAAGACCTCTTCCCGCCTCACACCGGACGCGACGCAATTAGTTATTAATTAGTTTGTGATTAGCGTTAACTGATTATTAATTAGTTTTTCCGACTTATATATAGTTACCGATTTTGTGATCTCGTCACTTCGAACCAGTTTCTGAAGAAGGTTGCAACATGGCACCCGGAACGTCAAATCTTAGTTTAATAAATAAATACGTGTTTGCGAGATAGTAAAAGAGTTACAAGTACGAAGGCTATCCACTAAAACTAACACTGGATCTAGAATTAGAAATATTCGAAACACATCTTACCCGCTAATCTTTCTCTAGCTAATCTCGGTTGTGCAGCAAGAAGTAAAAGATCAGCTCCAATACCACCGGCTAAACCACCACTTAACGTTGCCAATTGATCGTTAGTATCCCCAGTTGGTAAATTAGGATTAGTATAATCCCTAGATTTATCATTGTTGTATTTTACGTTTAAAGATGACATTTTTGAATAATCAATTCTCAGTGTACAACAACTGTTGTAGATATTTTGTCCATCAAGAGCTTGTTTGGCTGCCTGGGCTGATTGTGTGTCCGGGTATTGAATAAGAGCTTGGAATGAGTCTAAAAGATTCGCACATTAAAAATAAATACTTTAGTATAGGAAATTTGAGATTTACTATTTTTTGTAAAAGTCACAATCTTTAGCACTTTTCCAAATCTCTGGAATATCTAAAATTAAAAGTAATTAATTAAGTTTAAAAATTAGAAACGTATTGATTTAATTTCTTACCACATATAAAATATCTAAACTTATTGGGTAAATCATATGTTCAATGATAACCCTTAAAACAGTATTAGGTCCACCTTGAATATCCTGTCCGTTTGTAATAGGGGTTGCTGGAGTAGAGGCCGGTGTAGCTGCGTTGGTCCCCGTTAAGGCCTGAGCTGCCTGAAGAGCTGCTTGAGCTGAAGCATTCTATAACGAAGAAGAAAACGAATCAATTTCAAGAGGGAATTAAACAAAAAAAAAAAAAACGTGAAGCTCAGTCGTCTCCGTTTAATGTAAACAAAATTGGATTGCTAATTCGAAAAGTTATTAAAACTTTTCGCTCCCCGCCTATCCGAAAGACTACGTCACCCGTAACCTTATTTACTTCCCTTTTCGAAACCGGGCGCTCCATTCTTTTTCACTTTATAATTTTAAAAAAGATATCCGTACACCAACTCGGAAAGCAATAAACGTGCATAGTCAACAACCCCGTCAATTGCGTTTACTTATAATTTATCTTCCGGGTGAAAAGTAGAAAACTTTGCGATCGTAATTGCACTCGTTAAAGGCAACGTTTACAGAGTTGGTGATAAAAGAAATGATACTGACATTTTATCGAACGATAAAATAAACTTTTGCGGTTGGAACTAACGGAAATAGTTGCAAAAAATTAAACTCTATAATTATGAGGGAATTTTAATGATCGATTAGAATTCCACAAAATTAACAATTTGATTTTGTTAATTAAAAACCTCCCGGTTAGAATAAACGTAAACCGTTAAAGTTGGAAAAAAATCATATTCTAAAAATGAATATTACGGTGGCATCAAAAACTTCATTGATTACGTTCGCGATGTAATCAATTACGCAGCTGTCGTGGGCAATAATTGGCGGAGCGAACAACAAACGAAGCTTTTAAAGGTACGACAACTTGTATAACTATGATTGATGCGAGTATTTAGAACGTAACGACAATGCGTGCGAGCCAGTTGTGCAACTAGTTGCAGAGAGCGTAATGGCCCATAGTGATATAGCACTGCTATAAAGTTGTTGTAAACCAAGTACGAGTTGATGAATGGGAAAAGAACATAACTACATTTAATAACGGAAAAATTTCATAGCATAATGCTAAATTTACCGGCGCCTCCACCATAAATTTATTTTTGAATCTGAAAACACTTTCATTTCAATATAATTTTAAACAATTTCTTTTTTTAGACGTTTTTGATGTCACCCGAAAATCAATCTTTAAGGGTTACCCTTTGATTATATATAATATGGATTGAGCTAACTGAATATATCTACTAACAAAAATGTTGCTCAAGGTGAATAGACGCAGATGGAAAGCGATAATGTGAAAGTGTAACAAAGATAGATATATTATATGTCAGTACGCTTCTATATCTATCTCACTTCTATCAGTACACCCATTATATGGCAGTACGCTTCTATGTCTATCTCAGTTCGATCACCTTGCGCAAGCTATCTCTCTCGTTGGCTCAATCCATATTATATATAATCAAAGGGGTTACCACGTACTTTGGATTGCTACACTGATAACAAAACGTATTTCATAATAAAAGTGTCAGATGAGGTCGCTTGAGGACAAGGTTACATTACATTACATTACATAGAATACATATCGGGTAGGCGGACCAACCAACCTTGCACCGCGACCCTAAGGACAACGAACATTAATACCTTGCTCGGCGAAAGGTCATTCAGATCTTTTGAGGAGATAAACTGCGACCCAAAAATCGAGAATGTGATACGATTAACGGCAGGGCAGTGGGATAAAACATGCTCAACCGTCTCTGCTTCCTCCGCACATAGTCGGCATTCAACATCGTCGGCTAAACCCAACAAGTTGAGGTGTGCTTTTAATCGGCAGTGCCCAGTAAAAACACCCATTAGAACTTTTATGCTACTACGGGCAAGTCCTAAAATATTCCCGGGTTTGACAGTGGCGATGTTAATAAACACCTTAGCATGTCTCATTCCAGGAGAACTGGTCCACAGTAGGCGAAGTCTCTCTTCAGCCCACAGTCCAATCCTATATTTGGCCATCGCAAATGATACACCAACTGCTGGTTCCGGTCCCACAAACGCTTCAGCGCTGCCATCTCGTGCTAGCTTATCTGCCGCTTCATTGCCAGCAACCCCAGAGTGACCCGGGACCCAGATCAGAGAGACTCTGTTATCACAACTCAGTGTGTTTAATGTTCTCTTACAATCATTAACCAGAGCCGACACCGTTTTCACGGCTTGCAGCGCCTGGAGAGCGGCTTGACTGTCTGAGAAAATTCGTACTGTCATGTTCTTCACCCCTCTTTCAAGAAGGATTTTAGCACCCATGTCAATAGCAAATACTTCCGCCTGGAATACAGTACAGTACGTACCCAGGCTGTAGGCTTGCTTAATTCGAGGTGTCTGGCAGTATACTCCTGCTCCTACCCCTTCAGGCGTTTTTGATCCATCTGTGTACAAGCAAATGTCTGCCCGAACCAGAGAATTTTCATTTTCGATCCAGGACTGCCGCTCAGGCAGTACAATCTGGTATCGAGCATTAATCACTGATAGTGATACCGCCAAATCTGACGGCATTGATAGCACAGTATCAGTGCTTATAATGTCTTCCGCAGCCCATTGGTAGGACATGTCGGAACAGTTTTGAGCATATTGCTTAAATCTGTAAATGGTTGTTCTAGCCACTTTCTCTATATGCAAATGCAGAGGAGATAGGCCAAGCAGAACCTCCATTGCTAGAGTTGGCGTTGTGCCTATCGCACCAGAGATTGCCAATCCAGCTACTCGTTGAATTCGTGAAAGTTTACTGATAACTGAAGTCTGTCGGACTTTCCTATACCAGGCTGCTGCTCCGTATGTGATCATAGGTCTAACCACAGTCACATAGAGCCAGTACAGTCTTTCAGGGGTAAGACCCCAATTTTTTCCACAAAGACTGCGACAAGTCCACAAGGATAGTCTAGCTTTGTGCAAAACTCCCTGCAAATGTCCATTCCATGACAGGGTTTTGTCTAGGATTACTCCTAGATATTTGACTTCCTTTGAGAAAGGAATTTCTTCACCTTGGATAGTTGGGCGGATTAGTCCATCCAACTTTCGCTTCCTGGTGAAGGGCACAACAATTGTCTTTTGCGGGTTTATTGAGAGGTTCTCTCCCTTACACCAAGCGCAAATGGTATCTAGGGTCACCTGGAGGACTTTAGATATCCTCGGCAAACAGGTTCCTTTGACCATAACGACAATGTCATCAGCATAAGCTTGTATTTCCACACCAACGGCTTCGACTATCGCAATCAGATCGTCAACTAGGAGGGACCAAAGCAGGGGAGATAACACCCCTCCCTGCGGGCAGCCACCTCCCGGCCTGAAGCGTATCGTATCACCGTGGAGTGAAGTAGAAACTATTCTACTATCTAGCATATTGCGGATCCAACCCGCTATAGTTGCTTCCACTCCCCTGTCAAGAGCAGCTCTTTCAAGAGATTGTGGTATTGTGTTGTTGAACGCTCCCTCTATATCCAGAAACGCACAAACCAAGATTTCTTTATCCCGCAGCGTCCTGGATACTCTACCAACTAAGTTGTGTAGAACCAATTCTGCTGATTTTCCCGCTTGATAAGCATACTGGTGGCGACTCAGTGGACCAGATACCAATGACACCGTACGGATATACCGTTCCAGAACTTTTTCAAGGGTTTTCAGCAGAAATGACGTTATGCTGATGGGTCGAAAGGCATTAGAAGTAGGGACCGAACCTAGAGTCTAGTAGATACCGCTACACTCGCTCTGAAAATTTTTACCAAAATTGGCATTGAGGACAAGGTGCTACAATGGTAAGTTTTATTGCCAAAATGATATTTGAATTAACGCATCGGCTTATATCTTCGCGGCAACCATGTTGTTACAGTGGTGACTACTAAAGACAAAGAATTATCCAGGTAGCGGCTCGGCCGCAAACGACCTCGGCTTATGAATAGCGTTTTATGTACCTAGGCGTTACAATGGTGACTCAAAGCTAAAGTTTTAGTATGATGGCTAATAAACAGACATTATTGTCGTTTAATTCCCTGAAAATAATTTTTTTTAAATAATTTTTTTTCTTGTTAATCTAGTAGAAATGAATTTGAATACAGTTTCGTTTTATTCGTGGTTAATTCATTTGGAGCTCACTACGTACGTATAGTATATCTACCATGTTACACTCTGATGGGCTATTTAATTGGGTGCCCCTAATTACAAGAAAGGTAAATAAAACCAATGCGAGCGTGAGCTTTATGCTACACGTAGCATAACTAAAATTCTACTCTTTCATAAATAACTAAATAAATTGTTATAGTTGTAATACACAAAGTGGATTTTGAAGAAATTGTACAACATAAAAGTATGTTGTTATGTTTATTACATATATTATAAACGTGGTAGTCACGAAGTAGCTTTTAGTGAATTTCACGCAACCACTAAGAGTAGGGGCCTCTGACCTCTTCGACATGATAGATACCGCAGGAAAGCCTTTCTGCTCTACAGCCATATACCATCTCCTGGCAAAACCGCGCGTACGGATTTATATTAATGGAATCTCCGGTGTTGTTCCACCCCGCGTGTCCCTCAGGGCCCATAGCAGACCACCACCTCCATTTTCGGGGGGTCGTAGCGCCACATGAATAAATGAACGGGCCCTCCACGCCTGGGCCGCACGTAAATCCGGAGACACCGTGTTCCATTTAGAATTCAATTATTTTGCCACCAACAATAAAATGGAAAAAACAAGAAACACCTTCGCGATTAGTTTTCATCTCAAAACCTTTAAGAGATTCTTTTTCATCTCTATAAAAAAAAAAAATGTAAAACGTGAAAAATATGAGGAAAGATTCCCATATGTGATACACCGTCGAAATCGTTTAGTCAAAAAGAGAAATGCGGCGTTAAACCGCCAAAGTGGGACGGTTTCCGCCCAAAACGCGAAATATTTCTACTTCCTCCAACCTCGGTGGTGGTAGTCGGTGCCGGGTTGGAAATGCCCGCGGGAAATCTGTCTGCCCTTTTTCCCCTACTTTTTTCCTCTCTTTCAATCTTTTCTTTGTGGGCCCAGGTGGGCCGGCGACGATTCCTAACTCATTTACCCCCCTTTTATTATACAACTAGGGTCGGATTTCAATTGGTACCCTATTATATATAAAAAAGCTGGAAAATTTAAATTGTTGAATATTGATATTTATTATTAATAAGGAAATTTTCTTTTTGCATTTAATATATATATATATATATATATATATATATATATATATATATATAGTTATATATTTAATATAAAGCATGCTACCATCGTAGAAACCTCCGACGGAACGTTGCCGAATGCGGAGTTTTTGCTTGTACAGCTGAAAACTG